AGATGGCACTTCTAAGCCGATAAATGAGTGAATTCGAATTGAAGGAGAAATGAGCATGCTTAAAATCATACAAGAGAGAGATCAATTTAATGTAACTCAATCAACAAGGAAAAAAAGAAAATGAGACTAAACTTCATACTTAATGTAGCACAGTAAGACGAAATGGTAGCCAGACCTCAACTTATTTATTTACTTTGAAAGGTAAGAGATAGCAATTGTGTAAGTTTTATTTTTGATAAAAGATAGTAACAGTACTACGAATATAAACAAGATTATTGATTAAAAATGAAGGGGGTAGCTATAAAAATTGATCACAAATTCAGCAAGAATAAAAGCCAATATTTCATCCAACTTACTACTAGATTGAAACATAATTTGAGCGGGATGCACATCACTAAATTAAACATCACATAAAATTCGATTCAACTACAATTATAAATGACTTTCATGAAATCTAGGAAAAGAAACTTAAGTGAGAAAGAAACACAAGAATGCTCATCAAAATGTAACTTTGTTTTGGACATGAATCTTAGGCTATACAAAGCAGCAAAAAGTAAACTCAACTCTGTAAAAATTACAGCAAAAATTCAGTTTTTTATATTGTTCAAATCGATGGGAATATAATCAGGAAATACACGTCCGATTAACATAACTTTTCAATAGAATGTTTAAGCAAAGTAAAAATATACATCAACTAATCTCAAAACATAAGCTCATATTAAGGATGAAGCAATCATATAAAGGGGAATTCATCCTTAGAAGCGAGATTAGACAATAAACGAATGTTAACTCATTAAGCAAACAAAAATTCTAACCTGCTAACACAATAAAATTTTAACACATTTTGAGCTATATAGGACGACTAACGTATGAAAAAGGAGGTTGACCAGAAAATGCTTATAAATAAAAACCTACAACAATCAGAGCAAAAAATGTTTTCTGGAAGTTAAATAGTTGAGAATCGAAAAATGAAAAAGATTACCTTGTGTTGAGCAGCAAACTAGAGTTTTGACGTCAAGAGATTTCGACTCCGTACTTCCTCGAAACTCGAATTCAAAACAGAAAACAAAAGGACAACAAGAGAAGAACTTTCGACCTCTAACAAAATACTTGAAGTGGCTGCGATTTTCTTACTCGTTGATGGATGATTTTAGTCGATTCTCGGATATTCTTACTTTTTTTTCTCCCTATTTATTTGGATGATCGTTCCATGAGTACCAAAGTCCTCTTTTATAGCCGAAATTCTGCTCCAAGAATTTAAAATTTGAATTCTTGGAAACGCAAATCTCAGAGGTGACAGAAAGGAAATGATTGGGACAAAAAATATCTCAAGAATCGACCATTCCTGGTCGATTTGATAGGATTGAGTGACTGATGAGGCATTTTTCACGCGGCCCAGAGCCATTCTTCCGACAGGGGATGGGGGATCACGTGGAGCGGCCATGGGAGAAGAGCCTGGGGCGTCGACGTTCTTAGCGTGGTCTGGAAAGGTGAAGAGACGCATTGATTTTTCTTTTACGGAAGAGAAGGCTACGTGGTGCGCTTCTGGGAAAAAAGAGTATAGGGTGGTTGTAGGGGAAGAAGAACGTGATGTCTTGGGAAACAGGTCGTCCGATCGTTTGATCGGACAGTTAATAAAATAAAGGATTTCAAAAAAATGATTATTGATAATTATTTATATATATATTGATAATAATTATACATTAAAAAGATGAATTAATTAAAGTCGTTGGATTAAATCGGATGGTCAAGATTTAAGCTGAAAAAGCACAATCCATGTGCTTCCTACGTGGCGCACACGAATTGGCTAAATTAAAAAGACTTGGATTGCCAATTTTTTTTACTCAAATTAGGTTCATTTAAATTATAACATTCTGTTTATTAAATAGCTATAATTTATTAAATTAAAAATAATAATTTTGCAAGACTAGCTTATTTGATAAAATTAGTCATTCTAAAAATAAAATTACTATAATTTAGTAACTCATTAAATAATTAAGCCTTCCTAATTTTTAAAAAATGTCAAAAAATGTTTATTATAAATAGAAATTATATATAATTAAAAAAATCTATTGAACCCTTAAGAACAATATTTATTTGACGTGAAATTAAAAAAATGAGAAAGTAAGTAGTAATATATTTAATTTTTTTTATTTAAAATAGTATTTATGAAATGAATTTATCAAATAAAATAAAATGATTAAAAATCTTTTTGTATAACTACGAAAATTTCATAAAATATACATATTTTTTTTTTGTTATTATTATTATTATTATTAAAACTTTAGTTAAATAAATGTGGAGAGCCAAAATTGGGTGTCAACAGCTTGCCCCTTTCTTTGTCCATGGAGGAGAGTATAGAAACCGTGGACAAAGAAATATTGACACAAAACAATTTTAGGAGACCCACCAAAATACACCTTGAGCAAAAACTTGGTGAGAAATGCTTATGGAGTTATGGCCGAACTCTGGCTTCTGAGCTACCTACATATCTCAGGTTTCATGAGAAATTAGGCCATATGTAGTTCAAGAGTGTAGGAGCATATCAAATTTTGAGTTTGCCCAGTATCAAATTATGGTAATACTGAAATCTTTTGATGGTGAGATATGAACAGATTACCACGAATCGAGGGACGGGATACACTCCTTAAGAAGCTTGAACGAGAAATGCTCCGTAGTAATTTCTACTGAAGACTCATGGTAGATAGATGAATTTTTAAAAGAATGCCCCAGTGTCGAGTAATAATGTACTGAGATATGATAGAATTATAAGTAAGATTTAAATCTGAACTTTTGAAGATCGAGTCAAGTTGAGTTTGGAAAGTGAATCACTAACGTAGCTAGTGATGCTTGACATTGCACTAACTTGCCTTAGTTTGCTGCTTAGAGGGAGTTCCTCGTTGTAATGTGTTGTCCTGCAAAACTTGTAAAAAAGTGAAAAATACCTCTTGCGATTCAAAAATTATAAATTTAAATAGTAATGTAAAGAGTAGAGTGTAGATGTTCAAACGATTGTTGATGTTTCCTTTTTCTGTTGTGAATGTGACGTAGGTAAAGTAACTTGTAATGTAGAGGCCTTCGACTGGCGGGGCTGTTGTAATGTAAAAGCCTGTAGTCGTCTGTGTAAAGCTTCTAATGTAAACCTCCGCCTAGCGGGGTTGTTATAATATAAAAGCATGTACCCGGCTGTGTAAAGCTTGTAATGTAAAGCCTCCGGCTAGCGGTGTTGTTGTAATGTAAAAGCTTGTAACGTAAATTTAAGGGTCGGTGTATGACAGTGTTGCTATGCGTGCATGCTCCCGGCCAGCGGAGCTTTAGTGATATCACGACGATGTAGTCTCCGATTGGCTGAGTGTTGCTTCTATTGCTTAGATACAGGCTCCGATTGGCGGAGTTTGGTCGACGTTTGCTATGTAGAGGCTCCGATTGGCGGAGTTTGACGATATTTGCTATGTACGAACTGCTATCGGTGGAGTTCGAGTGACATTTGCTATGTACAACCCCAGACTTGTGGAGTTTGGCGTTGTTAGATAGTGGTCTCCGATTGGCGGAGTTGTTGACGAGGTTAGTTTAGAAGCTACAGTTGGTGGAGTTATTTTGACAGAAATCTAACAATCCTATTTTCCTACGATGATCCTCTTTCTTCAGTATTTGGTCTGGATCTTAAGTGTACCAGCAAAATTTAAATGAAATGTTCTTAGATGTAAGATGCAAGTTGAAGTACTTTCAGGAAATTAGTAGGGAAAGAGTACTTTGGCTCATGATTGTAGAAGTCGAATGGCGCCTCAGGCCGTGTCCCGAGACTTGATGTTATTTTCTTGATTCATGTGTTCCTGCGCCCAAAGAATTTTTTTAGTTTCGGAGGGGGTGTTGATTTGTATCGAATCGCGGACTGAAGCCTCGTCAATAGAATCTTTCAATGTCTTCTTAGCCTGCATATAGTTTTTTAACCTAGAGACTTGGTAGGTGGAAGATTAGAAAAATCCTTCGGAAAAGAATTAGCTTGTTTTTCTGGAAAATAAGTATACTACGTATATATTCGGTATATATATATATATAGTAATTCTCCAAAGTTTTTAGATTATGACATAATCCGAAGTTTATCGAGCTTTCCATTTTGTTGATTATATCCAACATGGTCTTCATGTAGCTTTTACCCTTCTGATGAAGCTTCCCTATCTCTTTTGCAGACACTGCGATGATCGATAGTCTTCATTTTCTGAGGTTATGCTAACTATGAGGAAGTGTTTCCTAAGGGTAAGAAAAAAATGGAAAATATGCAGTGCATTGATCGAGCTTGACTTAGGCTGCGTACGTATCTCCAAAGTAGGAATCAGATCGTAACGTAGTTCTAATACAAATGGGAGAAATAGATGTATGTAAGGCAATGATAGAGCGTGACTCAAGCTGCCTACGTATCAAAATAGAATCAGGTCGTAACGTAGTTCGATACAATAGGAAAGTGGAAAATATGAGAGATGACTAAGAAACATGTAATGCAATGACACTCAAGCTACCTACGTATCCAAGTGGAATCAGGTCAGGATGTAGTTCAAATTACATTAGGGGAAAGTGAAAAATATGAAATCCATTGACCAGGCCTGACTCAGGCTGCCTACGTATCCAAGCAGAATCAGGTCAGGACATAGTTCGATTACAAATAGGAAAGTGAAAAATATGAAACGGAATGACCGGGCTTGACTCAGGCTGCCTATGTATCCAAGCGGAATCAGGTCAGGACGTAGTTCAAACACAAAAGGAAAGTGAAAAATATGAAATGCAAGGGACCGAATCCGACAAGGATTGCCTACGTATCCCACCGAGGGAATTCAAGTCAAGCATAGTTCTAAATACATGGAAATGATGATTTTGGATTTTCTAAAGGAGACCGTATCTGATGTGGGTTGCCTACGTACCCCGCTGTGGGAAGTCAGGTCTAGACGTTGTTTGTTGCATCAAAAATGCAAAAGTACCAGGAATTAGCGCTAATCTTGAGGATTTCAGATGTAGTATTTCTTGATGGCGTCTGAATTGATTGGCTTTGTGCTTACTCTACCATCCATTTCTGCTAACATTACCGCTCCTGCAGAGAGTATTCTATGAACCATGTAGGGTCCTTGCCAATTTGGTGCAAATTTCCCTTTGTCTTCTCCTTTGTGAGGAAAGATCTTCTTCAATACTAACTGCCCTGGTATGAACTGTCGAGGTTTGATTTTCTTGTTGAATGCTTTGGTCATTCTTTTCTGATAGAGTTGGCCATGACGAACCGTGTCCATCCTCTTTTCATCGATGAGCATCAATTGTTCATGCCTGCTATGTCTCCATTATGCATCGTCCAGACCAACCTCTTAGATAATCCTTAAAGATGGTATTTCCACTTCTGCATGTATTACTGCATCCGAACCATAAACCAACATATAAGGAGTTGCCCCAGTTGGTGTTCTGATTGTGGTGCGATAACCGAGTAAAGCATATGGTAGCTTCTCATGCCTTTGCTTGTGACTATCTACTATTTTCCTTAAAATCATCTTTATATTCTTATTTGCAGCCTCAACTGCTCCATTCATCTATGGCCGGTAAACTGTGGAATTTCAATGAGCAATCTTGAACCTTTCACAAGTTTCTTCCATAACGTCGCTATTGAGGTTGGTTGCATTATCTGTTATGATTGATTCTGGAATTCCAAATCGACAAACTATATTGTTGCGAACAAAGTGTGCTACCATCTTCTTTGTTACTGCCTTGTATGTCGAAGCTTTCACCCATTTTGTGAAATAGTCGATAGCCACCAGGATGAAACAATGTCCATTTGATGCGGGAGGCTCTATGGGTCCAACAACATCCATGCCCCAAGCGGCAAACGACCAAGGGGAACCCATCACATTGAGCTCATTCGGTGGAACCCGAATAAAATCTCCATGCACTTGACACTGATGACACTTTTGCACATACCGGATGCTATCTCTCCCCTTGGTCATCAAAAAATATCTGGCACTTAAAATCTTCATTGCCAAAGTGAACCCATTCATGTGAGGTCCACATGTTCCTGCGTGTATTTCTTCCAAAAGCCTTGTCGCTTCTACGGCGTCGACACACCTCAGCAATCCTAAATCCGAAGTTCTCCTATATAGGATCTCTCCATTAAGGAAGAAATGATTGGCCATCCTCCTAAAAGTTCGTTTTTGCTTGCTTGTGGCATTTTCAGGCTATTTTTGTGCTTCTATGAACCTTCTGATGTCATAGTAACCATGGTTTTCCATCCAGTTCCTCATCTACATGAAAATAGTATGCATGTTGATCATGTATCTCTATATCGATAGGGTCGATGTAATTCTTGTCTGAATGTTGAATCATTGAGGCCAATGTTGCCAAAGCACCGGCGAACTCATTTTGAGCTTGAGGGACATGTTTTTATGTAATGCAAATAAGGCAGGATCTTGACATTCTTAGTGGTCCATTCTCCTAGCACCTGATGAACCAATAGGTCGGAATCTCTAATCACTAAGAGTTCTTTGATGTTCATATCGATGGTCATCCTGAGTCCAAGAATACAAGCTTTATATTCACCCATGTTATTGGTACAGTAGAACCTAATCTTGGCCAAGATTGGGTAATACTGATCTGTTTCCGAAATTAAGACTGCTCCTATTCCAACTCCAATAGAGTTTGATGCTCCATCAAAGAACATTCTCCATCCATCATATGACTCTGATAGGTCTTCTCCTACAAACAAAACCTCTTCATCAGGGAAGTAGGTTGTGAGCGGCTTGTAATCCTGATCCACCGGGTTTTCTACGAGGTGATCAGCCAGGGCTAGTGCTTTGATGGTCTTTTGTGTCAGGTACACGATATCAAACTCGCTCAACAAAATTTTCCACTTTGCCAGCTTACATATGGGCGTTGGTTTCTGAAACATGTACTTGAGTGGAGCCATTCATGAGATCAAGTATGTGGTGTATGCAGATAGGTAATTCCTAAATGTTTGCGTGATCCAAGTCAAAGCGCAACATGTTCATTCCAACAAGGTGTATGTTGCCTCGTATGGTGTGAACTTCTTGCTCAAATAGTAAATGGATTGCTCTCTTCTTCCTATCTGATCAGGCTGCCCCAATACACATCCAAATGCATTATCCATAACAGATAGATATAATAACAAAGGCTTTCTAGGCTCTGGTGGGTTGGACAAATATTCTTTGATTCTATCGAAAGCCTTCTGGCATTCCTCTGTACATTTCGTGGTAGCATCCTTCTTCAGTAACTTGAATATGGGTTCACAGATCACCGTGGATTGAGCTTCAACATGCTGCTTAAGAAACTCTATAAACTCTTCCTTTCTTTCAGCCTCCAAATATATGCTGACTCGTGTCTCCTTCACGATTTTCTCATTTCCTAAGTTGACCACCTCTGTTTCATCTATATTGGGATTCTTCTAACTTTCAACTTGTTCAATCTCATGTTGTAGATTTTCAGGCATCATGCTCTCATCATACTCTTCGTGATCTTGTTCATCACTTTCACTTTGCTTGGTAGATTCGGTACATGTCATAACCGTTGAACGAGGATTTTTATTAATATGAGTGCTGAAAAGTGCAAAAGGTAAGTAAAAATAAATAGATATTTAAAATAACGAGAATTTTTTTTAAAGAAAATTAAAGACCTTTTATTTCAAAGCATTCTAGCTTTTAGAAGAGGCAAGCAACAAAAGATTAGGCATGATTCAAGCCTCAATTTGATCATGCGAATTTCTAAAATTAGACTACTTTTCCACACTACCAGGACTCTAGTTGAAACATGGACGGGCTGATGGTCCAATTCTGCAAGATTTCTCCAGGTTTGGCATCACAAATGGTCAACTTGTTGAGATTTATCCCTTCTTCTTCTCCAGCCATGGCCACGATCAGATTGCCTATTCCTTCCATGATGTCATCAACGCCGGCTTGATCTGGAATCAAAGCTTGTTCTGGTACAAAAATTGTATTGCTTGACCCGTGATGGTCCCTTCCCGAGGCAGGCTCATATCCGAGT